AGAGAGAGAGAGAGAGAGAGAGAGAGAGAGAGAGAGAGAGAGAGAGAGAGAGAGAGAGGGTTGAAGCCTTCCCTGTCCTCCTCCTCTCCCATTCTCTATTAACGTCACGAGGAGAATGATAGGCTTGGTCATTTTCCCGGTATGACCCCGTCACGGTGGTGATGCATTCTGGCCTTCTGTTCCTTTTGCGTGAAAATATTACATTAGACAATAGCATTCGTACGTTCTTTATGCTTGTCAGTTTGGAGAGACATCCGTCAATTACGTGGGATTCCTTATTTAGTAAATGCATTTGGGTGTGGTATGGGCTTGAGCCGTTTATCGTTCCCACCAATCCCACGTGCTCTCTCAGAGTCTCTCTCCATTTTCGGAGCAGCTGGGAACGATACACGGCTCAGCAGTCAGTCACCTAACGGACGATTGTTTGTGAGTCAACCTTAGTCTTTACCCGAAGGAAGCGGCCCCGCGCGTCATTACAGCCGTATGTGGTGCAAATTTCAGTCCACATGCAGCGATCATTCCGGCGCCGTCTATTCGCATGAATGTAGTGCAAATTTCAGTCCACATGCGGCGATCATGTCGGCGCCGTCTATTCGCGTGAATATGGTAGCTCTGTCGCCCAATGTACTTCCAGCTGGGCCAGCTCTGCTTCCCATTCCTCCCCTCGAGTCCTCGCTGTGTTCTTCCATCCGTCTCAGCACAGCCTGCGAAACTCTCTTCGAAACACGAACGGGTAATGAAGTGAAAGAAACAGAAAACAGACATCAGGGCCATGATCAGGCAACAAGGGCCGATGGGGAATGGGAATAAAACGATGAGCCGCATTCTTTTTTTTTTTTTGTGTTTTGTGTGTGTGTAATCGTGCTCAGCTTCATGGCAGTCGAGGATTCGCGCATCTGCCCCCACACGGATCACGAAAATCGATCATGGGTGCACACTGCCAGTCAGGCACACCGACACCGAGTGCTCAGCCGTAAAGAGGCACTGTTGCCATCCACCAGTGCCGACCGGAGATCCCTGCTCACCCGCAGGTCGGGACGAGGCTCTGCAAGGAGTGAATGTGAAGCTGTGCGCTAGCTGATGGGTCGTGTTCCTGATTGGCCAGCGGCCCGGCGCCAGCACCCGTCATTGGCAATGCGAGCTTTGTACTCACTTATCTGTTCAGATGAGTCCGTTCCGTGCCTGCTAACGATCAGTCAGGGCATAGTCCCACTACCGTCTTCTCCCGAACACAACGCCCCCTCATTATGGCTGTACCAGATCGGAAATATCGCCTCCATACATTCATTATCAGGGTGCGTTTTGTTCGGGGTACGACGGTAGCACGTATCTAATGGCATAGTCCCACTAGCACTTTTTTTTTCCTAAATGTATCTGACCACAATTACGGTCACGTAGGTGCACTAATCTGACCGCCGTCGCTTGCAGAGCTTAGAAGATATGTCACAATGGAGTGTGCTCTGATTGGCAGCTTCGACGAAGGCTACCTAGGGACGTGTGGTGCAGTGTCGCGAATGACCGAATCCCTCTCACATAATAACGAGATGAAATCATGTTGATTCATGCGTGTCATCCACTCTTTTTTTTTTTCTTTTTTGATCTCTCAGAAGTGACTTTACTCCTCGTGATGTAAATCTTCGCTCTTTCTGTATCTGAGCTTTTGCCCTCATCACGTTCCAATCATGAACAGCGCTGTTCATTCGTTAGACTGCTTTCGGAAGTCTGTTTGTTATGCTTTGGAAAGTTTGTGGCTAGAGGGGGGGGGGGTGTTGTTGGGTTGGTTTCTTTCGAAACCCCTTTCGAGGGATGCTCTCATCACCTCGATAAGGTGTTTTTTTTTTTTTTTTTTTTTTTTTTTTGGGAACACCTCGATGGCCCTTGGGGGAGGCACGTTTGTCCGGATATCGGTGAACTGGTATGTGTGCTACGATAGCGGCGGAGAGCACAAATTCGACGTTTAGACTCTCTCTGCGATTTAAAGACATACGAAGCGTATCAAGTGGACACTGGACTTCGTTTTTCTGTTTTTTTTCTTTGACCGATATTTTCTCTCAATCTATTTGTTTACTCTTCTTTCTCATTTATCTCTGGTGATGCATTTTTTTTTAAGGGCTTACTCACACTAGCTCTACCTTAATGTACCTGACCATATTTACGGCCGAGCACAAATTCGACGTTTAGACTCTGCGTTTAAAGAGATACAAAGCATAGAACGTGGACACTGGACTTTTTTTTTTTTTTTTTTTTTTGACCGATATTCTTCTCTCGATCTATCTATATGCGCTTCTTCCTCATCCATCTCTGTTGATGCATTTTTTTTAATGGCTTACTCACACTAGCTTTACCTTAATGTACCTGACCACATTTACGGCTAGGCCTGGACGAATTGGTCCAGAATGACGTTTGTATACAAGAAAAGTCTGGCTGTGTGAGTATGGTATGCCCTGAGGGGTTAAGGTGCAGCTGTCCTTGGACGACCGCATGTACGGCCCGGCCTGGATGGATTTTTTGACCGGAATGACGTCTATAAAACAAGGAATGAAGTCCTAGTCTGACTATGCCCTTGGAAGAATTTATGCTTCTGATGTGCTGGTACAGGTGCAGCTGTCCAGGGAACGGCATTGCGTTGTGAAAGAATCACTCAGGTAGAGATCAGGTATCAAGGCAGTCGACGTCGGCGGCCTGTCGTTCTCTGTGGGAGCGCCTAGAGAGAGAGAGAGAGAGAGAGAGAGAGAGAGAGAGAGAGAGAGAGAGAGAGAGAGAGAGCGGTTCTATCTTACAGGACGCTCGCGATGGAATCAGACGCAGTCAGCTGTCGTGCCCACCTCCGTTCTTCATCATCAGTGAAGATTGGTTGGGCGACTGGGGTGGGGGTTGTTGAGCCGACCGATGGTGTGGGGATCCGGTCACGGACGCCGGATGTAGCCAGCCCCGTGGTCCTCGTGGACCTGAAGACAGGGTGGGGCAGGGCTGACGGCTGGTCCGATTTCTTGTTGTCGTCATCAGACGGTCCGCAGGGTAGCAGTGAAGCCATGCGAGTTGCGTCGAATGAGAGAGGTCGCAGATCGAGGTCCCGTCGTTGCCAGCCTCCTCCTGTGGGGATCCCGACCAGGAAGGCTCACCTCGGGGAGGCAGCCGTCGCAGGTGGTATACTACGGCGGCGGCTCTGTCTTCCCGTTGGTGCAACCCGTCAGGATGAAAACCATAAGGACAAGGATAAGGACGAGTCCCGGTGGAGTTCGACTCTGAAGCGACGGTTCGAGGAGATGGATCCCAGTCGGACTGGTGCTATCGGGGAGGAGGAGTTGAGAAGAGCCGCAGAGAAACTGAGGCTTCCAGTCTCTCACAAGGAGGTGCAGGCCTTCGTGGAGAAGGCTGGCGACCGTGTGTCGTTCGACGAGTTTGTGAAGTTCGTCACGGGAATGGAGGACCGCCTGCATGCCACGTTCAGGGAGCTGGATAGACGACACACTGGCGTTGTGTCGAAGGAGGATATTCCGGAGGCCCTTAGAAGACTCGACATAAAGCCGAGGAAAGTGTACCAGGACGATCAGTTGGTCAGCCGCAGCGTAGGCAAGGCGCCTTCCCAGGGGTTTGGGTTCGAAGACTTGCGGACGTACCTCCTCTGGGCCAAGGATGCTGAGGAGGTGTTGGATTCGGGGTCACGTGCTCGAGCAGCCATCGACTTCGGTGGGGACTTGGATTGCAACTTGCCCCTCGCTTTGGAGACTCGTGCTGCCAGGCCCAATCTCCGCTTCCCTGAGCTGCAAACGACGAGAGATGTGCTGGCTGCATGCATCTCCGGTGCCGTGAGTAGAACCCTCGTCGCTCCCTTAGAGAGGGTAAAGGTCTTGCAAATGGTGGACCCCAGTCTGGCGCTGCAGGACCCTCGGGTCTTATTGGACACCATGCGAATCGCTGAGGGTGACAGAGGTGCCTTCAGAGGGAATCTCCTCAATGTCCTTCGACTATTCCCAGCCAAGGCGGTGGAGGGAGCAGTGTACAGGGCGCTGGCTGATCGGTTTGACCGGAGGAAGCCTCGAGCTGCAGTACCGGGGTGGAGAGGGCAGAGGGAGGTCGGGCCACCAGAGGGAAAGACAGAGAAGAATGAGCATGAAGGTACTCTCCTTCTCCCAGACTGGCAGCGGAAAGTGATGGGAACGCTTGCATCGACCGCCGGGATCCTGACCTCCCATCCCATCGACACGCTGAGAGTTGCAGCTCAAGTGCCCATCCGCGGCCCTGCGACTTCGAGGACAGCCACGGTTGCTACGAGTACTATAGGAAGTGCGGGTGGTGTGGGGGGAGGACAGGTCGTCGAAGCGGTGGCAGGTGGAGGTGGGGTTGGAGGGGTGGGTGGGAATGGGAGGGGGGTGGTGCACACGGCAAGAGCTATTTTGAAAAGGAGGGGCGCGAAGGGCTTTTATGCAGGCATAGGGCCGAACATCCTTCGAGCTGTTCCATACTTTTTCCTCAGCGGGTATGTGTTCACCTCTTTGGAGCGCTGGTACAGGAAGAAAGTCGGCCGTCCTGATGCAGAGCTTGGCCCCATTCCCGTTGTTCTGGTCGCCACGGCCGCCGCCCTGTGCGCACAGACTGCTCTGTATCCCTTGGAGACTGTGCAGCGACGCCTGCAGGTTCAGGCAGCCATGGGCCCCGCAGCAGGGCGGCTGGTGTACTCGGGCATGATGGACGCATTTAGGGATATAATCAGCAGAGAGGGAGCTGGAGCCCTGTACTCTGGACTGGCTGCCAACAACCTGAAGCTCCTCCCAGCTGCCGCTGTGTCGTATGCCATCCACAACACTGCCCGGAATCTTTGTGACGTCTACTAGGACTTCGTATGCACCTCAAGTGAAATTAGTGATTGTTCCTCGGGCATATGTGCATCTAACAGGATGCATCTGACCTTGATGACAGACGGATTCGTGCATCTTACGGGATCTATTTGAAAGCCGTTGCCGTCATACGTGGTAGTTCACTACCACTGCCTGCTTTTGGAAGCCACTGCGGTCATACGTTGCGGAACTGGCAAAGATGAGCATGTTTGCTGCCTCACAACGTGGGATGGACTGGTAGACGGAAGTTTTATATGAGCAAAAAAGAAAGAAAAAAAAAAAGAAGAAAGGTTTTAAATGTCTGAATGTCCAAGGTTTGCAGGTCTTAGGTTGGAAGTGGATATGTGAATCCATCAGTTTATCATTTCTAGCCTACGTGCACAAAGGAGGAGGATGCTGAGGACTCTGTAGAGTCTGTAATACTACGGTCACACAGTGCTGCTTTTGAGATAGAATAAGGGGGAGGCAAGGTGAACGTTTGCCCTGAGGAAGGGAGACACATTAATTGGAAGTAAAACAGAGGAGGTTACATCTGTTGATAGATGCGGGCACTGAGGGGGAAGAGGGACAGATTTGTAATTGGGGATCCTGAGGACGGGAGACACATTAATTGAAAGTAAAATAGAGGAGGTTAGCTCTGTTGATAGATGCCACTGAGGGGAAGAGGGACAGATTTGTAATTGCGGTTGGAAATCATCTGCTGGGGAAGGGACAGAGATTTGGAATTTAGGAAACAGTGAGTGATGTTGAAGCTTTGGAAGGAGATTGGGGTAGTGGATCGAGTGATATTGAGAGAGAGCGAGGAGAGAGAGGGTCGAACAATTTGGAGGGACAGGGAGAGAGGGGGTGACTGTTCATAGGGCATTCCACTGACATGTGGGCGGAAACCGTGTCAACGTCCGTTCACAGAATTTGACCTCGACCGGCCGACGGCCGGTCACGTTCACGGGACCGACACTGCAACCAACGGCTTGGCAGGCAAACACCTAACCATAAGGCTAAGTAGGCTGGGGTGAAAGTGAAGCTCCAAGATGAGCACTTCACTCCACCCCAGCACGGAGATCCGGAGCCACCGTGTACCCACCACACTATGTGTATACCAGAAGGCTGTGTACGTGAATCTATGTATCAAGATGTACAGACAGCATCATGTGTGGAAACTTGTGTATGTAGCCCGTAGGCGATGTGTAGTTTGCAAGCTATGTGTATACATGAAGGCTGTGTATGCTCCTATGTATCCAGATGTACAGACAACATCATGTCTGGGGAGTCTAGTTAATGTAGCTCAGTGGTTAGTGCTCCGGTTGGAAATGTGCGTTGTGGTATAATGTGAGGATTCAAAACCCCGCAGCCTTGTGCATGAACACCGGCAGGCCGTTAGATTGACGCACGGCTGAACACACACCCCCTTGGGACGGACGCATGCGTCGCATGGTACTATTACAGACGGTGCCTTCTGAAAGTGTATGGTGTTGTGATTGACACCGACTTACATAATCCAAATTATCGAATTGAAGATGGGATTCTGGAGTTGTTTTCGAACTTTTTATGATGTTTACATTGACTTGGATACTGCAAATTATGTAATTGCAGATTGGATGATAAGCAGAATTTTGACGGGTGTATGGTGCTGTTGGGATTCAAGGTTCTGTGGAGTGAATAAATGATTGGAGAGAGAGAGATTCATGTGCGCTCTTAGCTCACCCGGCCTGCCATATGCCCATATTGAGGGTTGCGAATGTGCATGTCGGAGAGAGACACACACACACACACACACACACAGAGAGAGAGAGAGAGAGAGAGAGAGAGAGTCCCACCCTTCGGCCCACTTCCCTACGCCAGTCTTCAGCACTTTAGTGTGGGGTAGCGCACCGTCAGTGGGCACTTGCGAAGCACGGTGGCGGAAGCAACGGCAATTGGGGTGAGGGGGAAGGGAGGGGCGGGGAAGAGAGAGAGATCGCTGTATCTTTGGATGCACAGATGTAGCGGATGAGGGAACATACATTGTGAGAATTTGTGACGGCCATGCAGGCACGGTGGGCCGTGACATTTGTGCATTTGTCAACAGAGCCCTCTCTCTCACTCTCTCTTTCTCTCTCTCTCTCTCTCTCTCACACACACACACACACACACAGGGAAACACAGCGCACAAACAACAACGCACGCGCACACACACACACACACACACACACACAGGGAAACACAGCGCACAAACAACAATGCACGCGCACACACACACACACACACACACAGGGAAACACAGCACACAAACAACCACGGGCGCGCACACACACACACACACACATTGAAGCTCCTGATGAGTCGGTGAAAGTCTGACGAAACAGTCTGGCACAGTAAGGCTTTTCTTGTGTGTATAAAAAATATGGCATAGCACACACACACACACACACACACACACACACGCACACACACACACGGACACACGCACATGCACACACTCAACCTCCTGATGAGTCGGTGAAAGTCTGACGAAACAGTCTGGCAAAGTTAGGCTTTTCTTGTGTGTAGAGAAAATATGACTTAACACACACACACACACACACACACACACACACACACACACACACACACACATGCACGCACACACATACACACGCACACACTCAACCTCCTGATGAGTCGGGTAAAAGTCTGATGATACGGTCTGGCACAGTCGTGCTTTTTTTTAGTGTATAGCGAATGTGACAACACACACACAACCTCCTGATGAGTCCGTGAAAGTCCGACGACACATTCTCTTCCTGTGTTGCCGAGCGACGAGCGTTCATTGAACGCGCGTTTCGAGTTCATGTTTTGAACGCGTTGAACGCGCGTTCATTAAACTGGCCCACTTACCCCGTCGTGGCCCTCTGACCAACATTCAAATTTTCCATCAAACCCCAGCGTGAGCTGGGCCTGAAATATTTTTGTTATGCCCGTACCGGTACCCATATTCGCATTCCAATTTTGCAGTACGCGGCTGTATGCCCCTACCGGATAGCCATAGAGTACCAGCACCAAAATTTTCCGAATGCGCCTACCGGTAGGGTGCATGTTTTCAGCACACCACTATGGCTACGTGCATGGTGCCCACTTCAATTTCTCTCTCTCTCTCTCTCTCTCTCTCTCTCTCTCTCTCTCTCTCTCTCTC